TAAAAAAAATCACATCTCATGAAAATGATAGAGGATTTTAAGACAGACATAATAAACCCCTTTAAAAAAAACACAGGAGAACACAGGTAAACAGGTAGAAGCACTTAAAGAGGAATCACAAAAATCCCTTAAAGAATTACAGGAAAACACATCAAACAGGAAAATGAATTGAACAAAACCAACAAGGATCTAAAAATGGAAATAGAAAACTTAAAAAGTTACAAAGGGAGATAACCCTGGAGATAGAAAACCTAGGAAAGAGATCAGTAGTCATAGATGCAAGCATCACCAATAGAATACAAGAGATAGAAGAGAGAATCTCAGGTTCAGAAGATACCATAGAAAACATTCTCAAAAAATGACATGCAAAATGCAAAAAGCCTAAACCATAACATCCAAGAAATCTTGGACACAATGAGAAGACCAAACCTAAGGATAAGAAGTATAGAAGAGAGCAAAGATTCCCAAATTAAATGGCCAGTAAATATCTTCAACAAAATAATAGAAGAAAACTTCTCTAACCTAAAGAAAGAAATGCCAATGAACATACAAGAAGCCTACAGAACTCCAAATAGTCAGGATCAGAAAAGAAATTCCTCCTGTCACATAATAATCAAAACACCAGATGCACAAATCAAAGAAAGAATATTAAAAGCAGTAAGGGGAAAAGGTCAAAAAACATATAAAGGCAGACCTATCAGAATTACAATAGACTTCTTACCAGAGACTATAAAAATCAGAAGATATTTGGCAGATATTATACAGACCCAAAGAATACAAATGCCAATCCATGCTACTATACCCAGCAAAACTTTCAACATAGATGGAGAAACCAAGATATTCCATGACAAAACCAAATTTACACAATATCTTTCCACAAATCCAGCTCCACAAAAGATAATAGATGAAAAAAACCAACAAAAGGAGGGAAATTATACCCTAAAAAAAGCAAGAAAGTAATCTTTCAACTAACCCAAAAGAATACAGCCACACAAACATAATTCCACCTCTAACAACAAAAATAACAGAAAGCAACAATTACTTTTCCTTAGTATCTTTTAACATCAATAGACTCAATTCCCCAATACAAAGACATAGACTAACAGATTGGATACATAAATAGGACCCAGGATTTTGCTGCATACATGAAATGCACCTCAATGACAAAGACAGACACTATCTCAGAGGAAAAGGTTGGAAATTTTTTTGCAAGCAAATGATTTCAAGAAACAAGCTGGAGTAGCTATTCTAATATTGAATAAAATCGAATTTTAACCAAAAGTTATCCAAAAAGATAAGGAAGGGCCATTCATACTCAACAAATGAAAAAATCTACCAAGATGAACTCTCAATTCTGAATATCTATGCTCCAAATGCAAGGGCACCCACATTCATAAAAGAAACTTTACTAAAGCTCAAAGTACAGATTGCACCTCATACAATAATAGTGAGAGACTTCAACACCACACTCTCATCAGTGAACCGATCAGGAAAACAGGAAATAAACAAAGATGCAGTGAAACTAACAGAAGTTATGAACCAAATTGATTTAACAGATATCTATAGAACATTTAATACTAAAATAAAAGAATGTACCTTCTTATCAGCACCTTATGGTACCTTCTCAAAAACTGACCATATAATTCAGGCTTCAACATATACAAGAAGACTGAAATAATCACATGCATACAGTCAGATCACCACAGACTAAGGCTGGTCCTCAATAGCAATAAAAACAACAGAAAGCCCACATATACAAGGAAGATGAACAAAACTCTACTCAATGATAACTTGGTCAAGGAAAAAATAAAAAAAGAAATTAAAGACAAAGAGTGGAACAGAGACTGAAGGAAAGGCCATACAGACTGCCCCACCTGGGGATCCATCCCATAAATAGGCACCAAACCCAGATACTTAATGATACCAAGAAGTGCTTGCTGACAGGAGCCTGATATGGATGTCTCCTGAGAGGTTCTGTAAGATTCTTACAAATACAGACGTGGATGTTTGCAGCCAACCATTAGACTGAGCATGGCAACCCTAGTGGAGGACTTAGGGGAAGGACAGAAGGAGCCGAAGAAATTTGCAATACCAGGGGAAGAACAGTAATATCAACAAACCAGACCCCCTAGAGCTCTCAGGGACTAAGCCACCAACCAAAGAATACACATTGAGGGACCCGTGGCTCCAATTGCATATGTAGCAGAGGATTGACTTGTCTGGCATCAATGGGAGGGGAAGCCCTGGGTCCTGTGAAAGCTGGATGTCTCAGCATAAGGGAATGATAGAGCGGTGGGGCAGGAGTGAGTGGGGGGGGAGCACCCTCATGGAGGCAGGAGAAGGGAGATGGGGGTTTTCGGGGTGAACCAAAAATGGTAAAAACATTTGAGATGTAAATAAACAAAATAATCAGTAAAATAAAGTATATTTTAAACAACAACAAAAAAATTGTGTCTTGTCATCTGTCAATCTTCTAACAGATAAACACACACACACATATATATATATATATATATATATATATATATATACATATATATATATATGTAGTCAGGAGATGAAGAGTTTGTGGTATGTGTGTCTGAAGGATTTGGGAATAGGTATGATTAATGCATACATGTATGAAACTGTCAAAGAATAAATAGCAGTGGACTGTCATTGGCACATATCAGCTGTAGACATCCAGAGGCCTAATGGCAGCCACACCAAACAGAGAAGGCAGAGGTAGACACTAAGAAGCCCACCAGTCACATGGCCTACCCTCAGCAGCATCCACTACAATGTGCAAATATGTAATGGACATATGGCAGAGAAAGAAGCAGAATAGTTTGAGCATTGTGAAGAAAGAACTAAAGACATGAGGGTATTGAGGTATAGCCTGCTGTGAGAATTCTGGCTTGGACCTGAGGCCATGGTAATATCCCAGAAGATACTGCCCCTGAAGAACAAGTCTGGTGCTTTGGTCATGCAGCAGTAGGGGTCTGTGTCCATGTCTGTGGTTCATATTACCGCTAAAGATCATTTGGACATCCCTGGTCTGGACCATGACCTCAGCCCACAGTTCAGAAGCTGTGCAGAGCTGATCCCACCTCTCACCTGCTGCACCCCTTCAGAGGATGTGCCCAGCACCCCACCTGGGCATCATAGTAAGGCTGGCACCTGTGGTGATGGTATAGGTGAACCCACAAAGAGTGTGAGAGTGAGAGTACCAGTGAGTGAGAAATTCATTAAAATTAATAAAAAGTAAAAAATGATACTTGCATTTAATCCATTTAGCAGTAAAGGGGTAGACGCTTTTTCGTTACCTAGTATGGTTAAAGCTTACTTTTCATCCAAAATGAGTAAATTCTTTCTGAGGTGGTGCTTGGGCATTTGCTCCATATGCATGTGTATGTAAGTATAAGTGTGTCTTCGTAAGTATGTAAGTAGGTTAGGCAGATTGTTGGGCCCAACAACTAATTATGTGATAATAAATGTGTATATATGAAAATGTGTATGTTTATGAATATTTGCTTGTGTAAAAGTTTTTCCTTCTGCAATAGTGGTTCTCTTCTCCTGGTTAAATAAAAGTTTGCCCTAAACCTCCCCCCACCCAGGCAAGCTAGAATCTAGGCTTCTGGGTAAAAGAATAAAAAGCCTCTGGAATTAATCCTTTACTTAATCCCATGCTATTATCCAACCATTGTTAATCACCCAAGCCAGCAGTTTTTAACTATAGAATAAGGAAGTTTTTAGGATTATTTTGAAGCTACCAGAAAGCATTCATTATATGTAGAGAGACAGAATGTCAGAAACCATTAGTCTTTAATCCTGTCTCCAGAGACCATCAGTCCTTGAAGCAAACTGTATGTGCAATGCTTCACCTGATTACTGGCCAGGATTTTGGTAAAGGAATAAGGATTTAGAGAACAGTCAAAGAACAGCAAACTCAACTTTATGAATTAAACTCAAATACTATGGAAGCTTTAAGGATTCCTAAGCCTCTGAAACTTCTACAGACTTTATATTTTCCTCTTTTAATTAAGATTCAATAAAATATTAAAAATAAATAAATAGATGGAATAATTACAAATAACCAAAAATTAACAATGAGAGACTTCTAAACTATGCTTAAACTTTTAAAAAATTGCATTGGTCTATAAGGCCAGGTATAGGATATTTATAAACAAGACCAAAAAATAAAACAATAACAGCTTAGCCAGAGCACACCACTCCATTTATAAGAATGTCCAAATCAAAAGAATGTGAGCTGGCTGATACTAAACTGTCCAAAAGAATACTAGCTACTAGCTGCTGAAACAGTGACCCTAAATTGTGAACAGACAGAGTAATATCTGTAAGAAACAAAGAATTTATCAAGGCAGCTATTCCCTAGAGTAAGGGCATTAAATGCACATGATATACTAAGGGCATCACTGTTTATGTAGTTTACTCTTGAAATTCATATCTTATGTGTAGTCTTTTGCTAAAATAATATGTATATGGAAAATATAGGGAAAAAAGTGGGCAGAACTTGTGGGTAACGTGGAAAGAAGGGGATCTTTCAAGTGACAGTTAGCTGATATGTAGAGGGAGGACTGCCCTTTATGGACATAACCATCCCCAGACTGTAGTACCACTCATGCTCAGAATGAAAAACAACAAAGAATAATTGTATGCTAAATATTTTATTGGGATGATTCTTCTATAGAAATGATATTGAAGACATCTGTCTTCTGTTCACCTGAAACAAATAAATGAACAAGAGAATAAAGATACAGTGTGTAATATCAACATCTTATAAATATCTTTTAGTTTCTTGGATAACTTTGTTAGAGTTAGGACATTTGATTGAGAGTGAATTTAAATCACATACACCATAAAATTATAAAGGCCGTTCACGTTTTGGATGTATCTATGATCTATGTCTTTAGGAACAGGGTGGTCATCACCGGAGTTTGGGGAAATGGTATGAATGATGAGGCATTTAATTACCTTCTCTCTGATAAGGAACCAGATGGTTATGCAAAAAATGTCTGCAGGAAACTTGGCTGTTGCTGGCTTCCCTGCTGAGGTGAGCCTTGTGAGTTTCCAGGCTGAGGGGGTCCCTGAGGTGCTCCCTGTGGGGGTCGGCCTTGAGGTCTCTGCTGGGGGCCTCCTGGTGAGGGTCGGCCTTGAGGTCTCTGCTGAGGGCCTCCTTGTTGGGATGGGCCTTGAGGTCTTTGCTGGTGGCCTCCTTGTGGGGATGAGCCTTGTTGGTTTCCAGGCTGAGGAGGTCTCTGAGGGCCTCCCTGTGGGGGTGGACCATGGTGGTGTCCTGGGTGAGGAGGGCGTGGATGCTGAGGATGTTGGTGATTGCCTCCTTGATGTGGTGGTCTCTCTGGTCTATCTTCCCCACTGCCATCATCATCACCGTCATCATCATCACCATCATCATCTTCATCAGAAGCAGGAGGTGGTTTTTGATGATGTTGACCATGTCCCTGGTTCTGCTGCTCTAGCTCTGTTTAAGTATTGGTCAAAATAGATGAGTTTATACCTTCTCTTTCTCCCAGGATCACCCCCCTCCAGCCAACTTTATATCACTGATGCTTCATGAAGCTTAATTTGTATATTTATCATATGTATTTTCTTGTATCTCAACTCTTGGAATGAGTATTTGTCCTTAAATTTGATGCAAAAAAATGTGATTTTATGTAACTTATAATTCTCAGACAGAAGTGAAGAAAGGGGAAGTATTTTATAAATTTTACTAGTTAGAACTTGGCAAAATTGTGGCTACAAGGCTTTAATATTCTTAAATATAAAATAGTGTTCAAGGTCCTGTAGGCCTGTGTAAAGCAAGAAGGAAATGCAAGAAAAAATTTTCTATTCAATTTTTATGCAAAATATTTGTAAGAATTAGTCAGCTGTGGCTACTGAGCTGAGTACAAAAAAATAAATTTAAAATTGTTGGAAGGACAGACTCTGTGTAGTTGCATATTTTATGCACAATCATAGCATGCTAATTAGAATCACTGGGGAAAGAAGAATTCTTTGGGAGAACCATAGTATTGCAGAGGATTTTAAATGGGGACAACCTATATGTGCATCGTATATAATATATTGCTTCAATCTGTGGAAGAGACAAAATGTTTCTTTTGTTATCCAAACCTAACTTCCAGTTCTTCCAGTGCATGGTGCTGTTGTAGTGTCAGTGTTGGGAAGGTTGTCTGTTTATCTCTAGGGAAGCTACCAGCCATTATTTTGATAAAATAAGGAGATGATAGAAATATTATAGAATTGAATAATTACAGACAAAAAAGTATATAGAAGGTCAATAGAGGATGGATCTCCCTTTACCTAACAGCTGAGAAGATGAGTCTTCATAGATGACATCTGAAAAATAAGCATAAAGAAGTTGAAAGTTACTTATGTCATTTTCTAGTTGCTGAGAAACCTATCGGGATAGTTTCTACACTCAGTACCAATGAGAATTTAGTTACTTCTTAGATGTATCAAACTTTACTCTTCATTACTTAGATATATCAAACTGATACTCTTCATAAACATTCCTACAATTTCACAGAGACATGATTCTATTCTTAATGTTTTTCTTAATGATCTTCATTTCTTATATGTTATAGTCCCAGGTATTTCATTCATTGAAATAAGAAAAATAATGCTTTCAATACCATATACAACACAGTAAGTATTGCATAGCTGTCATTAAAAAATAAAGAGAAATTGGGTCTAGCAACATATTTTCAATGGCAAAAAGCACTTGCCTAAACGACTTGTTCCTGTTAAGTTCCTGAATCTATATGATAGAAGGAGAAATCCTGCTACCAATAAGTTGACCTCTGTCAGAATGTACTTAAGCATTCTAAAACCTGCAGACACATGTACACACACACACACACACACACACACACACACACAGAGAGAGAGAGAGAGAGAGAGAGAGAGAGAGAGAGAGAGAAAGAGAGAGAGAGAGAGAGAGAGAGAGAGAGAGATGCATATTTGCATTGATACATGCAAAATAAACATTAAAGTTATATTTAGAAGAAATTATTCTCTGATATTTACAGCTCATATTGTACAGAGTTTTAAGTTTGTTACCATTTGCAATTTCTCAGAAACATTCCTGATATGTGTTTACTTCTTTCATTTTCTCTATCATCTGTATACAAGGAAAACACCACCCACTATCTGTTTTTCATAACACCATAAGAACTGAATTTCCCTCTGTCAACTGTAACATACTGACATGCATCATCCACAAGCAAAAAAGTCTCTTTAAAAATGCACTCATGTTATTTTGTTCCAATAAATTTTTTAACTTAAAGTATAATTATTGTTTAATCTAGTCTAGAGGTAAAATGATAACAAATTTTCTACTATTTATTCTCATCATTTTTTGCCTCAATCTCTTTTTCATCTTCTTTCATTTTTCCCAGTTCTGAACAGTGTTGCCCAAGTCCCATATCACTATACCACTCTCTCCCCTACTTCATACCTTCTTCTGAGCTCTGAGCTGAGCTCAGGACCAGCAAGGCTGCTGTGAGCAGGACCACCAGCATCTTGGAGGAGAATCTAGATTTGCTCTCAAGTTTGCGCTGGAGGAAGGAAAGACACAATCTTTATAAGGAAAGTAGAACAAAGGTACCTTTCAGATCCTTACTGTTGACCTGACCTGTCACACCAGGATGCCATGCATCCCTGACACTTCTTTGGGACTTTAGCCTAGAAGGCTGAAGTAGGGAAAAGGCTGTTAAAGACTCAGGACTCAATAATACAACATGAAATTGTACAACAATGTTAAAATGAAACTGAAATTTCAGATATTAGAAATGAAATTCTAGTTTGATTTAACTGTGACTCAGTTCCTGTTAGTTGTGAGTTTGCTTCTATACAAACATGAATACTTACATCAATTCTTTCCCTCATTGAAGATAAAGATGGACAGTATTTCTGCTAATAAGTGAGAAACTCCATATATGATCTTATATACCTATGTATACCCTTGAGATAACATTTTGTTCTTTTCTGCAGGTGATTAGAACACCAAGATGGAATACATAGTAGATGAGACAACACTGACTGGCTGCTTGTGCCCAGATATGCAGTCTGGAATTCTCCACATCTGGTTCAAATTAAAGAAACTGTAATATCATAGAACTGGAAGATTGAATATTCTTTTCTTCTCTTCCTTCTGTGTTAGGGAAATAATAGTGGCAGAAGAAGACCAGGTAAGTGTTGGACCAGTCAATTCTAGAATATACATTTCTCACAACAAGCATAGAATGATATGCTTTACATAGAATATCCTAACATCTACACTATTTATTCATTTATTTATTTATTTATTTATTTATTTATTTTAGAACATTGAATTACATGATGTTCAGTATTACTTCCCCTGGAAGTATTCTTGATCAGTTACTTGGACTATTGATTGGCTAAAAACATGAATAAGGTGGTCTGATGTGACCTTCAAATCTCCAATTTGCTTTCTCTGAATGATTCTCAACTTGGAGTATTTTATTTTCTGTGTTTATAGCCAATGCTTCAATACTTACCCATCTGACTAGTTGAGGATGATTATGTTCTATACCATACAGGGTCATGTTTACTGTCACTGTATCACAGTCCATAATCCTTTTCTAGTTCCTATAAAAAAACTCGACTTATTTTTTGAATCAGTATTTACTTTGTTCTTTTGCTTGTTTTTGACTTGGCCTCATAGCTTCACTTGACATTCTTCTACCCAAGTCCCCATATTAGGAGTTTGAATTTGAACCCTTAAAGACAGCTTCATTCTAGAACTCATGAGCATAGTCCTTGCCTTGCCTTGCCTTGCCTTGCCTTGCCTTGCCTGTTCTCTCCTCCTCTCTCCTCCCTCTCCTCCCTCTCCCTCTCTCTCTCCCTCTCCCTCTCCCTCTCCCTCTCCCTCTCCCTCTCCCTCCCCCTCCCCCTTCCC